TCATATATATACAAAAAAGGACATAGAGGGCTCAGTTCTGGATACTTCAGAGGCATAACCAATCACCTCATGGGAATGGTTTTCTGGGTTTGAAGTCCTGACCGGGTCTTGTGGGACAACTCAGTTAACTGGTATAATATAGTTCATAGAGTTTATGTTTTACATCCCAATCTGGTGAGTAGTGTCTGGGATCTTAAAAGCTTACAAGCAGCTATCTGAGATACAACTGTAGGTCCCTACTCATCCAGAGCAAAAGAGAAAGAAGGAAACCCAAGACTCAGAGAAGAAACTAGGCTACAGAAAAAACTGCCTATACAAACCATGGCCTTTTCTACCCTGTGACCAAGATCTAGGTGGTGCTCACCTACCACTACTGATTGTTCTGATCAGGACCACAATAGATGGATCCTGAGAAAATGGGTGAAAAATGTGTAACAGAACCTCAAAATGTTAAAAATATAGAGACTTACTGGAATGGTTGAGACTAGAGGACTCCCTGAGATTACTGTCCTGAGATACTCTAAATCTTGAACTGAAACTATCCCAAGGTCACCTTTTAGCTAAATAACAGAATGGCTCACAAAGAATATCATGCATGAGTACCGTGCACCTATAAAAAATTATCTGTATGGGACCAAATGGTCAACAATTACTTTAAAGTATAGATGAGAAAGTAGGGGCCCGGGAAACTAGATTCCTAGAAATGGCACAACCAAAACAGAAATAATGAAACTGTTCACACACTGTGAAAAATGTAACCAATGTGTCACTGAACAGTTTGTCTAGAAACTGAATGAAAACCAAATATGCTGTGTAAATTTTCACCAAAAATACAACAAAATATTGCAAGGAAAAAAAATCAATCAAGTGGAAAGAAAAGAGGCAAAGCCAAAGACTTTCTATAAGGCTGTTCTTTATAACTGCTTAGTAGAGGTTAGATACTCCCTTGTCCATTATAAAATAGAGCAATAAAACGTATCTTTAGTGGGAATCTCACTTTATGACAGCACAGAATTGCTCAGTAAAGTAAAAAACGTACTCTGAGGTAAAAATAATCAACACAGGTTATTTTTCAACAAGTATTTAATTTCCTAGTGAAGTTAATAATAAGTAGGAGTCAAAACTTACCCACACTGAATTCTCAAACTTCTATTAGTGAAATGGCAAAAGCTTAAGTAAGAAAAATGCCTTGAGGGACAAGGAACTCTGGTGGTGCAGTGGTTAAAGTATCTGGCTGCTAACTATAAGGTCAGTAGTTCAAACCCAGCAGCTCTTCGGGAGAAAAATGAGGCAAGATTTACAGCCTTGGAAATCCTGTGGGGCAGTTCTAGTCTGCCCTATAGGGTCACTATGAGTCGGAATTGACTCAATGGCAGTGGGTTATGAAGGACAAATAAACTATGTCTGAAGTCCAGTTCTAGACATTACACAGATCCTGAGGCAAGAAAACCTGACACCCTCTGGTATAATGTAGATGAACAGCAGTGGTGACATCCAATTACATCTTTGGTTTTCTTACTTCAACCACTGAGACTTGTGCCTCTTCTTATCTTTAATGAATGCATAGTTTAAAAGCATGCATAATTTCTACAGAGAGAACAAAAAGTAAGACTTTTCCAGAACACTTTATGTTTCCATTTCCTTTATTTAATTTGCATAATTTATCTTTTGGAATGAAATTACTTAGGCCTTTGGCACCATGATCTAGGAAAATTATCAGCATCTATAGAGTCCATTTTTTACCAAATGAGAGAGAAAAGGGATTTAGTTTCATAAATAGCCAAGAAGCATACACACACATACACACTTGTAACAAAGTTTCCAGAGATTTCCTAGGACATACCCAACATATAATCATATTCCATAAAGTTCTTCAGGTATCTTAATAGTGACAAAAATGAACCATGAAGTATTTCAGCATGGAGGTTTTGATTAATTACAATTGCTATCAGGATTTTATGGCTGATGTAAGGTAAACATAGAAAGAAGTGTTCTCTTGCCTTATTTTCCATAAACAAGGCTTATGGAAATGGAATATTCTTTTACTTAAAAAATGTTTGGTTTTTGTTTATTTTTTTTAAGTGTCTACCTATGTTACCCTGCCTCAGAAGTTAAGAAGATACAAAAATACAGATCAATACAAAACATTTTCATGGAGAAGGGAAATTAAATGTAAAAATGATAAAATTCCCTACATTTAATTATTAAGTACAAGAACATCCTGCTGACCAAAACCCATTGTATCCCTGCATATGTGAGCTGCATTGTCACAATGTAAGACATTGGAATGTTGTAGGTTCATGCTTCACACAATGGTTTCAGGAACCCTCCCACTACCTATAGAAATGAGAGAAGGAGGAACAGAACTGTTTAAATATTTGTATGATTTATCAACTGTCCTAATAACAAGAATAAAGGATGATTATGGCTCTTTACACTTCAACTTTTGAAATTCCAATATTCAGAAAGTAAAATAACCACATGGTAAGTAACCAGGGCTCTCTGACGTCCAGGATATGGGTAAGAAGAGGGGTTCCTTTGTTCCTAGATTAGAACCTCCTCATTAAAGCCTTTTGCAAATGCTATGCTAAAGGATGCCATCTCTCTTGAAATGCAAACTGTAAAGACTTTAATTCAAGTCCTAAAGTCACATCACAGAATCAAGGTAAAGTTTAAACACCTTAGCAACATGGACCTTGGAAATCCTACTCTTGCCCTCACCTCCAGCTTCACTCCGTGATCCATCACATTAACCAAAAACACAAAACTCATTGCCCTACAGTGGATTCAGATTCATGCAGACCCCAAGTGTTACAGAAAGAACTGTCCCACAAGGTTTTCTTGGCTGTAGTCTTTACTAAAACAGACCCCCAGATTCTTCCTCCAAGGTTGTTATGTGTCGTCGAGTCGGACCCAACTCATAGCGACCCCTCCTTGGGTTTCCGAGGCAGTATCACTACTGAAGTAGATTGCAACATCTTCCTTCCGAGGAGTGTTTGGTGGGTTTGAATCGCCAGCCTTCTGGTTAGCAGTCAAGTGCCTTAGCCACTATGCTACCAGAACTCCCGCCAACCTTAGTAGTCAGTCCAAACCCTTTGTACCACCCAGGGACCTTCTGTCACATTATTTGGTATTAAAAAAAAAAAAAAAAAATTAATAAAATAACACGTTTCTTTCTCTTCACCTCCTTAGCCCCTCACAACTGCTTCCTTCACTTCTCCAGCCAGTCAGTCCCTTTCTTTCAAGATACAGCGTGTACAGATCTCATTTCAGACTCTTATCATGCTTACGTACATTTTTCACCTTTGAAAGATTTTTATTAAATCCTGCTCATCGCTTCCCTCCAGTACCTAGTAATTTGGTTCAGTCGTCTCGAAAGAGGTGTCCAAAAAGTATGGATATGATGGAATGCAGCGAATGAACCAAAAAAAGTCTCTGAAACTATATTTGCTTGGAGTAGGACTCATAATGTAGGCATGGGGAGGGAGAGAGACAAACTCAAAAACTCCTGGAACAGCTGATCCTCATTAAGTCTCATAGGGGGGAACCCACCTAACCCACTGCCATCCAGTAAGTTCAGACTCATAACAATCCTATAGGCCAAAGTAGAACCGCCCCCATAGGGTTTTCAAGGCTGTAAATCTTTACGGAAGTAGAGTGCCGCCCACCTTCAGGTTAGCAGCCAAATGCTTTAACCAGAGCGCCACCACCAAGTATCCTCATAAGAGCCACAGTCAGAACTCAAGTGTCCTGGGGTCCAAGCCATGAACTCATCAATCCACCTCCACATGGTGGCCTTCCCTACAACACTGTGGGCGTTAGCCCGTAAAGGGCTTGGTGAGGTACCTCCACTTTTCGTACCCATCTGCTAAGGAGCCAGAGCTGCCTATCTCTGAAGTGCTGTTGGGAACGGAGCTAAAGCGTGAATAACTGCGCTCACGGAGCCTGGCCCAGCAATCCACCCGGATTACAGCGCCTGCGCGAGAGCAGGCCGGGCAAGTGCCGCAGAGCTGGCCTACGTAGGCAGGGCTGAGAGAGGGAGATCTGGCCCCGGGGACCGTGGGGTGTGCCGACGCCGCGTTACCTCTCCATTGCCTGCAGGGTGTAGCTGATGAGCGGCCTCTCCAGGATGAGGCAGAACTGCTTCGGAGTGGGAACACCCATCCTCTCCCCGCACCCCCCCGCCGGCAACACGGCCGCCACGCCGCACCCCGGCTCGGCCCGGGCAAGGCTTAGCGAGTAGGCCGAGGTCGCCTGGGAGGTGCCTCCCGGGCCACTCAGGCAAGGCCCCGGCTCGTCCGGCCTGGAACCTCCGGATGGCACCGGCTCCATGGCGGCAGGCGGTGCGGCGAGTCCCGCTCGCCTCGGACCAGAGTGCCCCGCGACTGCCCCTGCAATCGGCCGGGGGTAGCGGAGCAACGTTGAGTTTCGTTCTGAAAGAACCCGCCCGAACCACTTCCGCGCCGCCGCTGCGCGTCCCAAGGGGACAGTCGCGGTCGCAGCTGAAGCTGCCGATCTTTCCTCGCAGTGCGGCAGCTGCCTCTACAACCATGGCCCAGCGCCCCCAGGAGGGATACTTTCGCCGTTTTTCCCTTATCTCTGGGCGGCCTTCCAGTCGCCTCAGGTGAAGTGGCAGCACTCCCTACATACCTAATGGTCCTATAAACTTAACAACAGTGCACGTGTAGCAGAGGTCAGAATTCCTTCCCCATCCTCGCCCGCCCTTCCCTACACACTTAAAGATATTTGGAAAAGATTTGCATTCAAATCTTAGGAGTAGATAGATTGGAGCATGCGCCAATCTGACTTAAACTGCCCAGGTTTCCTGGTTCCCACCAAAGGTAAACGGTGGATAGGTGTTACTGTGAAACATCGATAAACCGAACTGCGGTGGTTCCCAAACTTGTCTGCACATTGGAATCACCTGAGGAGCTCAAAACTGCTGACACCTCTCAGCGCCTGGGATTTAATTGGTCTAGTGTGTGGCCTGGGATTTGGTATTTTTTTAAAAGATTCCCAGGTAATTCTAATGAGCAGACATATTTCAGCATCACTGAACCAAAGGAATAATACTAATAATTTCTGGGAATTGAGTTGAACATGAGGAGTCCTGGTGACTCAATGGTTAGGAGTTTAGCTGCTAACTAATGGAAGGGTTGGGTGTTTTGTCCTATAGGATCGCTATGAGTCTGAAATGACTCCATGGCAATGGATTTGTTTTTTTAGGCTGAACAATAGACTGATACTATCTTATTTAATATCCATGACAACCTAATACCTTTTCCCTTTTACAGGAGAGTTAAGTAACTTGCATAAAATTTTACAACTAAGGGCAGAATAGTCTTAAGACCCTTGCACAGGGGTACAGCCAGAATTGAAGAATCCCAGGCAAGAGGCATGTTGTTGTTGTTATTTGCCGTTGAGTCGGCCCCGACTCATAGGGACCCCTCCTTGGGTTTTTGAGGCAGTACGACTACCTAAGGAAGTAGGATTGCCCAACTTTCCTTCCGAAGCGTGGCTGGTGGCTTTGAACGGTCAGCCTTTTGGTTGGCCTTAGGCACTATGCTAGTTGCCCTTATTTAATACTATCCTTGCTGACAGTGTTTACCATGGAAATATAGTGAAGTTTTTGGAATGCTAGTTCCCTCTTTTATTGAATCCCTGGAATGTACGTTCCAAAGAGCAGAGACTTGCTTTTTTGTTTGTTTGGGGCTGTATGCCGAGTTCCTAGAATGTAATAACTCAAAACTCACTGCCGTCAAATAGATCCGACTCAGAGCAACCGGTCCTTGGTTTTCCAAGGCAGTATCACTACGGAAGTAGATTGCCCAGTCTTCCTTCCAGAGTGGCTGGTGGGTTTGAACCGCCAGCCTTCCAGTTAGCAGTCAACTGCCTTAGGCACTATGCCACCAGACCTTCTAGAAATGTAATAAAGGCTCTCTATATACTTATTGAATGAGTTACTGATTGAGTAAATTATTGAAAATTAAAGTGTATATAATTAAATATTGATAATTCATAGTTAGGATCTCTAGTAGCATAGTGGCTAAAGCACTTGACTGCTAACCAGAAGGCTGGCGGTTCAAACCCACCAGCCACTCCTCGGAAGGAAGGTTGGGCAATCCTACTTCCGTAGTGATGCTGCCTTGGAAACCCAAGGAGTGGTCGCTATGAGTCGGGGCCGACTCGACAGCAAACAACAACAATAATTCATAGTTAGCAATCGTCACCTACAATATAAAATTCAACTATTAATATAAAATTCATAAAAAAGAATCTCTTAAGCATTGAAAATATTATCCAGTTATAAATTCCAATTTTCAGTATTTTTCACTGTCTTTCCCAGTTAAGATAAAGGCATACAAAATTGAAAAATAAGTTTTCTAGTCTTACCTTGCTTTTTCTATTTATTCTATTGTTATTGAAAACACTCTTGGTTTTCCTTTTGTTACTTTTATTACAATCAGTAATTAGGAGCTCTGGTGGCTTAGTGCCTAAGGCATTTGACTGCTAACCAGAAGGCTGGCAGTTCAAACCTACCAACCACTCCTCAGAAGGAAGCCTGGGCAATCTACTTTGTAGAGATGCCACCTCAGAAACCCAAGGTTGGGTCGCTATGAGTCGGAACGTACTCAACAGTCAATAATTAGCTCACAGTTGAAAGTTATCAGGTCACTGAATATTAGCTGAAAATTTGGTGTTGTATTATACTTGACTCTAAAGAAAATCATTATCATACCCATGCTTGTAGGAGTATCATGCTATGCATTATCATACTATGCATTCAATAGGAACACTGTGGAACGGTGGTTGGTTAAGGCATTTGGCTACTACCCAAAAAGTCCATGGTTCAAATCCAACAGCCACTTCATGGGAGAAACATGTAAGGATTTACAGCCTTGGAAATCCTATGGGGCACTTCTACTCTGTTCTGTAGGATTGCTTTGAGTCAGAATCAATGGCTGTGGTTTTGATTGTGTTTATGCATTCAGTTACTGTTTGTTGACTTACTGGCTGGGACTAACTGTATGGATAAATAAATCTATCCATGAAGGCAGAAAGGACAAGTCTAATTATTCTATTAGTTGTGATTTTTAAACATCCCTTATTTATCCAAAAGGAGCTCTGATAGTAAAGTGGTTAAAGCATTAAGCTACTAATCAAAAGATTGATGGTTTGAACCCACCAGCCACTCCACAGAAGAAAGTTGAGGTAGTCCGCTTCGGTAAACATTTACAGTCTTGGAAATAGACCTACAGGGCCCATATGAGTCAGAATCAACTTGATGGCCATGGTTTTTGGGTTTTTATTTCTTTTTTTAATCAAAAGATGAAGTTTAAGTATATTTAGCTTAATCTTTGTTTTCCTAGTCTTAGCACATAGTACAAGCACTCACTGGATTGCAAACAAGTTCCAAGCCTAAATCTGCCTTTAACTGGAATTTGTACATAGGTTTAAACAGTTAGGTATGGTGTCAAATGTCAGTCAAATATTTGTCTTGGTATATAATTCATAGTGTACCATTCTATGCATAAAAAAATACTAAAGAAACAAGTCCAGATACACTAAAACATCTTTAACATTATACAGTAATAATAATGTTTTGATATACGTCTCAAAATAGCACCTGTTTGTTATTATGAATCATTGTATTTACCTCAGATTTTTTAATATACTAGGCTTTACAGGTTTGGTGCTTAACTATGGATAATACATAAGGCTGACATTTGTAACCTGGGAACTGCCTGCATAATCATTTTATATAATTAAATTTTAACAAATTTTTATTAGAATCTAATTTATTTTGTGTCAGTGGTTTAGCTTTGTTCATAGAATAAATACATTAATTTTTCTGTTTGTTATGAATCATTAGACCCCACATACTGTATTTTTAAAATATCTAACAAAACAACTTTGGCTGAAAAAAGTGAAAGGCTACATTGTTCATTCATATATACTATATGAGAAGCAACATAGAAATAACTAGTTCCATGTTATGCATACTTTTGGTTAAAAATATGATTCCAATGTTTTTTTTTAATGTCAAGTTATGTTGTTGCTACGTGCTGCCGAGTCAGTTCCATCCAGCTCATAGCTCATGTCGACCCTAGGACAACAGAATGAAACCCTGCCTCATCCTGTATCATCCTCACAATCATTGCTATGTTTGAGCACATTGCTGCAGCCACTGTGTTAATCCATCCCATTCAGGGTCTTCCTCTTTTTCATTGACCCTCTGTTTTACCAAATATGATGTCCTTCTCCAGGCACTGGTCCCTCCTGATAACACGACCAAAGTATGTGAGATGAAGCTTTTGCCATCCTCACTTCCAAGGAACATTTTCACTGTGCTTCTTCCCAGACACATTTGTTTATTCTACTGGCAGTCCATGGTATAGTCAATATTCTTCACCAACACCATAATTCAAATGCATGAGTTCTTCAGTCTACCTTGTTGCCTAGCTTTCACATGCATATGATGTGATTGAAAACACCGTGGCTTGGATCAGGCACACTTTACTCCTCAAAGTGAACTTTTTAATACTTTAAAGAGGACTTTTGCAGTAGATTAAGGAGCTCTGGTAGCACAGTGCCTAAGGCACCTGATTGCTAACCAGAAGGTTGGTGGTTCAAAGCCACCAGCCATTCTATGGAAGGAAGACTGAGCAATGTACTTCCATAAAGATTTACTGTGTCAGCAACCCAATGGAGGTCACTATGAGTTGGAATTGACTGGATGGCAGTGGGTTTGGTTTGGTCTGGTTTGGTTTTTTGCAGCAGATTGGCCCAATGCAATATGCCATTTGGTTTCTCGACTGCTGCTTCCATGGGTGTTGATTGTAGATCCAAGTAAAATGAAATCCTTGACAACTTCAGTCTTTTCCTCATTTATTATGATGTTGCTTATTAATCCAGTTGTGAGGATTTTTATTTTCTTTATCTTGATGTGTAATCCATCCTGAAGGCTGTGGGCTTTGATCTTTATTAGTAAATGCTTAGAGTCCACTTCATTTTCAGCAAGCAAGGTTGTGACATCCGCATATTGCAAATTATTGATGAGTATTCTTCCAATCCTGATGCCACATTCTTCTTTGTATAGTCCAGGTTTTTCAGATTATTTTCTTGGCAAACAGATTGAATAAGAATGGTGAAAGGATACAACCCTGATCCTTTCCTGACTTTAAACCACAGAGTATCCCTTTGTTATGTTTGAACAACTGCCTCTTGGTTGATGTGTAGGATTCTAATGAACACAGTGTAATCCATACTTTGTTATGATCCACAAAGTCAAATGCCTTTGTATAGTTAATAAAACACAGGCAAATATCTTG